TTTTTTGCTAACTATGAATGTTAAGAAAATGTAAGTTTATATCTTTCTTTATATTTCCTACTATGAAATACAAATTGCATTTTCTTTGCATTTCTTCATTGAAGAGGTGTTCAATCACTTTCAAAATCTAAATTATAATCTAATCTATTTTATATCACGATTAAAGATGCTCTTAAAGTTGGTACAGATTAGATTATATGCTACAAAATTTACGAATAATGTGAAATCGTGAATAATAAGCGAATTTTAAAAGTACAAAATCGTATTTGAGAACGGGTTAATTTTAAAAATGACCCGATCAAACCCCTTATTTTCCACTTTGACTTTTCAATTATTTAATGCCCTTGTTTGAGCCCCATTTTGATGGGAAAAATGAATTTTTGAATAGTGTATTGATGTTAAATATGTGGTTAAAAAATAAGAAATAATTTTGAATTTACGTGTAATATTATATTATTAAATAATATGTGATTGAAATTATGTCAAAACACTGTTGAATAATTCATTTTCTCCAAAAAATAGGGATCAAACAAGGGCAATATTTTTACAATGGCCTTTTGGACGTAAAAGATAAAGATTTCCTTAAATATATTATACAATTACAAAATATTTTTTTTTAAAAGATTGGGCCCGGTTGTGTGGAATTTTAAGAATTGATTTTTTTACCATTAGAAGAAAAGTGGGGTCCACATGTGAGAGAAAAAGTCAAAAATCATGGCCGACATCGTGAAATAACGGTCAAAAAATCAATTTTTTTGGGTAAAAAATCCCTCCTAAACAGGTTGATAGTTTAGTTAACAAGTGAAAATCAAACACTTCTCACTTAAAATTTTAAAATCAACTAACTGTTTTTTATCTATTTATTCAAACACATATAAAAACGCTCTCATTTTCCATCTTCTTCAACCTCAAAATCTTTTTAATATGTAGATAAATTTTTTAATAGATTTATAATTTTTTTCAGCATGAACAAGAAGATTCATCTGTATATATAAATTATTTTATACCAACACAACAACTAACATGGCTAGTTGTATTTTTTTGAATAAATTTCTTTTGTCACTATTGTTAAGCTGAATTTTTGATCTTTTTTCTAATAATTAAAAATTTTATTTCGTCATGAAGATATGGTTGTAATTCTGATTTGTAACTTTGGTGATTTTCAAATTGGATAAAAGGAACGATGGATATGAAAATGGACGAGTGATACAAGTGGTGGTTTTCCAATTTCTATAAGAGATGGTACATCGTATGTGGGAATGTGCCATGATTTACAAAACAAGTTGAATGTCGATCATTCTCAATACGATATGGAACTAAGATTTCAATTCAACGAGCATTCATCTATTCCGATTTCACCTATGATGGTTACTTTTGATGCTGAAGTCAACTACATATTCGAATTAAACAAAATGCACACGACTCGTTTTTACGTGACTTTATTGAGAAAAAATATCACCAAAAGTGAATACGAAGATTCAGATAGAACGGATGACAATATCAATGATTTTTGGAACACGGCGTAGATAAACTATGAGGATAATGTGATTATTCTCAAGACAATTGCTCCTTATCGTGATTTCGCTTTATCCACAGAATTTTTTCGGTAGTTCACGACAACGAGAATGAAAATGAATTTAAAAATGAGGGTTTGATTGCTTTATCTCGTCAGAGACATGAGTGGAGTGGGATCTTATAGGTTGGATCGAGTGGACCGTCCTCTAATTCTTCACTTATGATTCTCGATGATGAGGATTGTCATGTGGAGCAACTGTTTGAAAACAAAGAAAGATTTGCAGGAAGCCGTGCATCGAATGATATTATAAATATAACTTTGAGTTCAAGGTAAAGAAATCGAACAAGTCATTGTTGACTATTGTCTGCGTCGACGGTAGTTGCCATTAGCATTTGCAAGCGACTAAGATGTATATGAATGAGTTATTTATAGTTACAAGTATACACGGGAACATAATTGCGAAGTGAAAATTCGTCAAAATGATCACAGGCAAGCTTAAGCATAATTTTTTGGTTGATAGATAATGCACAAGTATCGAAATCCATCATTTACGAACCTTTGGACATTATTAACGACTCCGTCAATTGTACAGAGTGGTTATGAGCTACTAGAAAGACTGAAAGGCTAAAGAATAGGCGTCGAAGGATTTAATGGATTCAGTCGATGAGATTTATGCTAAATTGGCTAGGTACCGCCATAACATGGGAACAACTAATCCTAACTTAGCATTTTTTATTGACGATGGAGAGCCGAAATTGCTTTAAATTTGTTTTATGGCTTTTGAACAATGCATTCAATGATTATATAGTCGTGCTGGTTATGTATAGAGGCTTTGCAACAAGAAAATTATGTTTTCCTCATTATGCAGCTGAATATTGGAGAGCAGCATATGTTGAGACAATATTTCCTCTACCGAATGAAGTCAAATAGGAAATTTCTAACCATATTCTCCCATTTAATAGTTTATTGTCATCATAAGTTGAATCACGCCCACGTATGTCTAGAATATCGTGTATCAGAGAGTTTTCTCGACTGCGTAGGTGCGAAAAATGCAGAACAATAGGGCATACTCGCAAATTCTGTACAAGTCAAATTCCCCTAAATGACAATTAAATCGATCTGTAATAATATTGTTGTTAAATAAACGTATTTACATTTATTTTACAATATTTAAAATTATTTCATAATATGTATAATTATTTCATAATTAAATAAATAATTACAATGTAAAACATTTATATAAGTTTTATAATATTTACAATTATTTCATAATTAAATAAACAATTGAATATACAATATTTATGAATAAAAATTGAATTCGTACAAATTACACGCTAACGTATTGCTCCAAATTTGTATTTCATCTTACCAAAATTCAAGTATTAGAACACTAAACAAGAAATAATAGTGTAAGGAGTAATCTTAAAAAATTGAAGGAATCGAATTGTAACTACTATACGCAAGACGTACACTAATTTATACGAATGCTAATAAAAAATAAATAATTTAATAAATTAATGGAGAAGAACCAAAAGAAAAATTACAAACAAAAATAAAAAAAAAGTTATTATAAATATTTTTAATTAAAATTGAAATAATTAAAATTAAAAACAAATATTATTTAACCAAAATTGGAAAAAATTAAAAAAATTTAAATTGAATAAAAAATTATATATTAATATGAAGAAAAAAATATAAATTTTAAAACTATTTTCAAAAAAATTATAATAAAAACAAAACAAATTAAATAAAAATGTTATGAAAGTTAAATAAAGAATATATAAATATTATTAAATTAAAATTGAAAAAATTAAGTTTTATCATAAAAAGAAAAGAATAAAAAAATTTAAAATCTAAAAAAATATTATTTATAATATGAACAAAAAAATTAAGAAATTTAAACATTATTTTAAAAAATTATAATAAAAACAAAACAAATTAAATAAAAATGTTATGAAAGTTAAATAAAGAATATATAAATATTATTAAATTAAAATTGAAAAAATTAAGTTTTATCATAAAAAGAAAAGAATAAAAAAATTTAAAATCTAAAAAAATATTATTTATAATATGAACAAAAAAATTAAGAAATTTAAACATTATTTTAAAAAATTATAATAAAAACAAAATAAATTAAACAAAAGAAAAAACAAATGAGAAAAAAAATAAAAAAGCAAAAAAAGTGGGCCGACTTTTTGACCCGAACAAGTGCTGGGCTAAATAGTCGAGCCACTCATAACAATTGAATTGGTCAGCCCAACTGACACTTATAGTCGGTGAGTCGATTTTCGTCGAAAATGACGTGAATCATAGCTTCCGTTGACTTAAATTTTATTTATTTATTTATTTATTTATTTTTTGCCAAAATTCATTCTAAACCTAATAACCTATCGAAATAATGAAGAATAAATATTATAAATAACAATTTAATACACAAATTCACAAACACATACAAAATGAAAAATCAATCTCTTAAATCCAAAAAAAAAAAAAAAGAAAAAAAAGCAAACTTTATTGAAGATAACAAGTGAGTTTTGTGGTAGTCGGTATTGGATAGACTGTAGGATGACAATTTCAATCGGATACGATTGTAAAGACTCTGTAAATTTTCTCATTTTTTTTTCTTTTTTCTCGTCTCCTTTCTTTGTCGATGATGAGGACAATTTTGGCAAGTGATATATAAAATTTCTATTCAACATATATTTTTTATTTATTATTATTATTATTATTATTATTATTATTATTATTATTATTATTATATATTTTTTTTTCAAATTGTCATGATCAATGTGAAAATATGACCGGTCAAATGACCATTTCCTATTTCCTATTGAATAATGCTGCTGGTACATTGTGCCATCCAATATGGTATCCAAAATAGTGACGTGACGTTTTTTTCCCCAATTTCTCGCGCCCAGAAAAAAACCAACAAATTAAAACAAAACAAATAAAAAACAAGCCCTACCATTTTTCATTTTCCTTTCCCGTTCACTCCCTCCCTCTATTCACCACCCACCTGCCCGCCCGCATCCACTCCGACGACGTCTCCTCAATGCAATCGACACTCCGTTTCCTCCACAAGCCCTAGCTTCTATCTACATTTTCACATTCATTCCCTCTCTCTACTCACTGCCTACCTTCCGCAACCACTCCAGCCGTTCGTTCCCGTTCCCGGCGCCCGTGACAGCGACCCCTTTTTCTGCAACGCGTTCGACACCCTCGTAATGGAAGGGTTTTCAGACCAATTTATGTCATTCCCCGATGTGGTTGCCGGTCGATTTGAAGATACCACCAGCTCAAATGGTACTTTTCTTTTTCATTTCCATTCGAAATATCATAGTTTAGGCTGTAGAAAATTCCATTTGAAATGAACCCTTGATTTTCCTTCTTCCTCCGTTTCTGTAGAGAACGACATGTATATTGAAGGAGGGTCACATGATGTTTCGGACAACATGGTTGTTGAGATCGCCGACCAAGGTATGCGTTCTTCATTCGTGAATTTTGCAGTTATAATTTCGTCATATGCCCAATGTCAATAAATGGCCAGATTAAAATAGTTGAATTTTGATATTTGAAATGCTTCTTTGTGTTCTGTTTGATAGAGATGAAGTGCTATAAGTGTTAGGTTCAACATTGGATGACATATTTCATAAAAAATTGGAAAGCAGCCTAATTGCTTATCACCATATTATTTACATTGAAACAATCATATCATGTCTATTGGTGTAAAGCCTAACGTGAAATGGCATTCTTGAAGGAGTGGATGTTAACTCATCTAATATTCTGGGTGACGACGTTTTGGCCAACAAAATGGTAGGTGTTGAAAATGAGATAGTTGTGCCTACGGTTGGTATGAAATTTGCGGATGAGACCGAAGTATTCGAATTTTACAAGAGAGATGCTTATCATGTAGGATTTCCTATTAGAAAACGAACTACAAAGAGGGAAGATGATGAGATAGTAAGGAGTATGAGTTTTACCTGTAGTCGAGAAGGGCGACGAAATCGTAACCAAAGTACTTCCTTGAATCCTTTACCAACAATCCAAACTGGGTGTAAAGCCAGATTGATTGTGTCCTCTGATGCACATGGAATATTTCGAATAAACATTGTGCATTTAAAGCATAACCATAAAATGAATCCATCTAAGTCTAGGTTGTACAGATGTAATAGGCAAGTTAGTGAACGTGTGAAAAGAAGGCTTGAGGTAAATGACATAGCAGGAATACCATTGCATAAGAGCTTTAATTCAACTGTAGTGGAGGCAGGTGGTTTTGATAACATGACATGTGTTGAGAAAGACTGCAGAAACCTCATCGAGAGAGTGCGATGTTTAAGACTTTGGGAAGGGGATGTCATTGCAATTCAAGCATATTTCTCGAAAATGCAAACTCGTAGTCCTGGTTTTTTCTTTTGTATGGACTTGGATGATGATTGTCGATTGAGAAATGTGTTTTGGACAAATAACAGAAGTCGTGAAGCGTATAAGGAATTTGGGGATGTCGTTACGTTTGATACCACATACCTCACTAACAAGTATGATATGCCTTTTGCTCCTTTCGTGGGGGTCATTCACCATGGGCAATCAACTATTCTTGGTTGTGGTTTGGTTTCAAATGAAGATACTAACACATTTGTTTTGTTATTTCGGACATGGCTAGAATGCATGAATGATCAAGCTCCTAATGGAATACTTACAGATCAAGATCGAGCTATGCAAAATGCTATTCAAATTGTCTTCCCTAACACGAAGCATAGATGGTGCTTATGGCATATACTAAAGAAGTTGTCGAAAAAGTTTGGCTCTCACAAAGCCAAAGGCTCAATATTACATTATACATGCGTTAGTCTATGACACATTAAGTTGTGAAGAATTTAAGAAAGGATAGTTGAATATGCTTGATCATTTTGAATTACGAGATCATGATTGGTTGAGTGGACTCTATAAAGAGAGAAGTCGTTGGGTACCATGCTACCTGAACACTACATTCTGGGTTGGTATGTCAACCACACAAAGGAGTGAGAGCATGAATGCATTTTTTGACGGCTATGTGCATTCGAAAACTTCTTTAAAGCTTTTTGTTGAGTAATATGAGCGGGCGTTGCGAAGTAAAGTGGAGAAGGAATTTCAAGCTGATTTTAGATCATTTTCACAAATGATTCCATGTGCCACTAAGTACGATATGGAGAAACAATTTCAAGATGTGTGTACCTTATCAAAATTTAGAGAGTTCCAACAAGAATTCACGAGGAAGGTATACTGTGAAGTCTTATCTACGACAGACTTTCTCGGGTAAACGAAGTACGAAGTACGTGAGGATATCATTCTCAGTGAAGGAATGAAGAAAAGAATATTTACAGTTCATTTCCGTAGAGACAATTGTGAGATTGATTGCAATTGTCATTTGTTTGAGTTTCGAGGCATCATTTGCAAACACTCAATATCGGTTTTAATTTGGAATGATGTACAATTGCTTTCGAAGAAGTATGTCTTGCGAAGATGGAGGTGAGATGTTAGTAGACCATACATGCGGGTTCAAGCAACATACGATGGTTTGGTTTGTACAGTTGAACAATTAAGGTATGAGAGGTTGTGTCACGCTTTTACTAAGATGGCAGATTTGGTAGCGCGAAACGAATAACAGTCTAATCATCTATTAGGGTGGATTGAATTCCAAACAAACTATTTTTTGCACGTGCCTGAAGCTCGGAATGACGAAAGCTTACGAAAAGAAAGGGTGCCCCCCAAAAAATTGCGCAAAAAAAGTCCGTTGGAGGCGAGTTCAAAAAAATCAAAGGGTCGAAAAAAGGTTTTGCTATCTCTACATTACTCTTATCAGTTAATGGTTTGTGTAATCATTTAATTGCCTTTTAACCAACTTATTGTTTTCAACATGTGCAGGTTCCAACAAATTCAACCCTTTTGATTAAATGTAGTAGATCGGAAGAAAACGTCGCGAACACACAAAATGATGATGAGGTCGAAGATCACTGCATCTTATCTTCTCAAACACATCAGTCTTTTATACGCAAGAGAGCGTTGACGGTTTTGAACGTTTGCAATCGGATTCGTGAATATGGAATGAGGTAGAATGTAGTATCGCTTTATGGACGTATTCTTTTTTTCCAAGATGTATAGCCTCTTTGTTTTAACCATGGCCATTTCAAATTGGCCTATTCTGTTGTTATATAACTATTAGTAACATGAGATTGCATTTTGACTTCATCAAAATTATTGTTGTAACGTAATATCATTCTCATTTGAGCTGTTTTGTTATGAGTTTAGCCTTTGCTTCATTTGAGCTGTTTTTTTATGTTTTGATGGTCTCAACATTTTTTAGATTGGCTTAATCAGGGAGATGTAAACTGAACAAGGGATTTAACCTCCCAAGTTTCAACTGAACAAGGGATTTAAATTGAAATACTCAACCATGAAGTAAACATACACATAGAACCTGCCAAAATGGATTTTATGGAACAAGGGATTTATTTCAGCTTGCATTTGCAAATCTGCCAAAATGCTTCTTTATGTGAAGTAAACATAAATATACAACCATGGATAGTGCCTGAACATTAACGTAAATACAAGTGAAATTGAAATATCCTATTACTGGCATTACATAAGTTCAATGGTAAGCTACAACTACATGAAGACACAAACATAAACATAAAGATCAATTTTATTCCCTATCTTTAATTCCACAACACTTTTCAACATGTCATCAATTGTTTTTTTGGACAGTCATACAGTTGATGCCACCCATTCTTGGAGGCTTTCGACTTTTGTCTCTCGGGATATTTCTAAGATGTAATACATTATCGACTCCACGTCACTGGAGTCTACTTCCCACATTCTGGAAATAGCATGGATAGCCGCACCTCCTATTCTTTCCAGCCATTGATTAATACAACTGCAAGTTATCACAAATTCCTTCATCAGGTAGCAAACAATTTGGAGAAATAATCTCACTTCATAAACACTCACCGAACTAAGTTGAACGTTATTTTCAGTGAAACAATGACGGTTATTTCAACACAGTTATTCCGACTTGTGGAAATAACTATCGCAATTGAAAAACAGCCAAACTAAGTTGAACTAAGTTGATACAGAACATTCACATGAACTAGCACAATCTACATTATGAGACACAGCTCGAAATAAGATGAAGATTATACACTAAACAACAGTGAGGAACTTGCCGCCTAAATGAGAGCACTTAGTCGATCCCAATTCATCAACTCTGAAGGTGAGTAAATATAAATCCCCTTTAATTGTCAGATTACTAATATGAAAAAAAAATTAAATAAATAAAAAGGCTGTCAAAAAAATATGAAAAATTGAAACCCAATTTTTTTTTTTTTTTTTGGATAAACCCAAATTCGAAGAAGACTGAAACCCATTTTCGAAGAACAGGGAAACCCATTTTCGAAGAAGAGTCAGATTACTCATACCGTCATCGACGTTGTAGATATCGGCGTTCATCTGTGTAAAACTCGTGAAACCTGAAACCTAGAAAGGGCAAATAAATGATTAATTTTCCAAAAATAAGTGAAACATATTCAAGAGAGAAGTCTAACTACTCATTCCGTCGTTGTGTCAGGCTCGTGGAGGAAACAGAGTGTCAACTGCGTTGAGGAGACGGCGTCGCCGTCGCAGTTGCCGTAGTGGATGCGGGCGAGCGGGCAGTAAATATAGAGAGGGAGTGAACATGAAAAGAAAATGAAAAATGGTAGGGCTCGTTTTTGATTTGTTTTGTTTTAATTTGTTGGTTTTCTTCTGGGAGCGAAAAATTGGGGAAAAAATGTCACGTCATTATCTTGGACATCATATTGGATGACACAATGTACCAGTATCATTATTCTTTCCTATTTCCTCTTTTTAAAAATTGTTTAACCGATTTATAAACACGGATGCATTTGCACATCGAGCCGTGACAGTGTCACAATCGGCCACGCTCCATGTATAATGCCCTCCTCTTCTGGAAATCCACACTCTACTGCTCCCGCCATCGCGCTATTACACTTTCCAGAGCCCTCCTTTCACTCTCTCAGTTGAACCCCAGAGCCACCACGCCCGCCGCCACTAGAATGATGAGTTCCTCCTCCGCCTCCGGGTCGGCTCAGCGAATTTTCCAGCTTAAACTCAACCCACTCACTGGCGACTCGGAATGGGTAGTCATAGAAGAAGAAGAAAACGAAAGTGCAAAATTCGGAAAGCAGCAGCCTCTCCTCGCTACGACGTCGTACCTCGACATGCTCAACGACACCCCGCGAAACAAAGCCTTCCGTCAAGCAATCGAGAAGGCCATCACTAAACCTTGTCACGTTCTTGATATTGGGTACTTGAAAATATAGTTCAACTTAAAAATATGTTCATTTAATTCGCTCATTATTGATGTTTTTGTATTAAGTGAGTCGATGGGACTAATTTGATTTATTTATTATTTCACTTTTGACTGGTAATGTGTTGTTTACTGGAAAAACTCTTCCTGATATACACAAGGACGTGATAGGCGCCAATCCACCTCATGCATTCTAGAAGGACCTAGAAGAAGAATAACCTGCAAGTGGGTGGAAAACTATTCTGTTAGAGAGTAAAAATGTGAGGGAAAATCAATTACAAGTAGCTTATAAACAGGGAAGAGTTGGAGGACAATAAGACGCAAATTAGCGAGTCAAAAATATATTGTGGAGAGTACAGCCCTTTCGAAAGGCTGATTGTATTCTGGTTCCGTAATTCAGTTTCGATCAATACATATCATAATTTGTGTTTGTGTCTTGTGCTTTCGTTAATCACAGGTAGATTTCACCATTAACCTGGGGTGGAACCTATCAGGACGAAGTAGTTGCAAACCGAGGATTCTATCTTTGGGAGTTTAAAGAGAACAAAAAGATGAGTAATGTGAAGATAAAGGTAGATTGATTATTTCAAAATGTTAGGATAAAATAAGTTAGTTCGAAATTTAGATAATATTTACATTTTTATGAGCTAGGAGTGGAGATTAAAACTTAAAGGTTGCATTGTTAGCTAAATGCTTTTAATTTTGTTCTGGCATAATATGGGTTACCCAGAGCCACATATACCATAGTTGTTATTAATGATTTAGTTGTTGGTAAATGTACTTCTCTGGTCTTTATCGTACAGTGCTGGAACTGGCTTGTTATCAATGATGGCAGCTCGGGCAATGAGTTTTGGTGATTCAGAGGAGAGGTCTGGTATGAATGGGATGGTGACTGCATGTGAGTCATACCTTCCCATGGTGAAATTGATGCGAAAAGTTCTCCGAGCCAATGGCATGGAAAGGAAGATACGCATCATTAATAAGAGGTCGGATGAATTGGAAATTGGCTTGGATATCCCTTCGCGTGCAGATGTCCTTGTAAGTACCTATATTTTATGTTTGCGTTGAACTTGAGCAATTGATATTCATTTGGTGATTTTCCCTACCACAGAAAATCAGTGTAGCTATTGAGTGAAGATGAGCATACTATGTTTACAGGGGGAACTGAATACATCAATGATTTTTGCTGGGATACTCAAACTTTAAAGAGAAGAAATAATAACGTGAAAGAAATCCTCATTGTACTCATTTTAAATGAGCCTGCCGCAAAATATCTAATGTATTCATCTATACTGTCCATAAACTGGTGGGAATCCAAATGAAAACCAATTGATACTACTTTCATATATCTGCATGCTTTAGTTTCACAGAATCTCATGCTCATTTAGGACCTTTTACCTTAAACATACTAGAAGATGATGCTCTTTTACTTTTGTCCCATAGGAGGAAGAAGATATATAAGAATTTCTTTCCCCCTTCCCTGAAAACTTGGGCTATTGTCTAATGGTTGTGCTGATTGGATCAGAATTTCTTCAACCAAAAAAATAAAAATATAAATCTCCACTCTCTTTTTGATACCTAATCTGTTTGTATACCATTATGTACAAGTAGCATTATTTATTATTTAAATGCCATTTTTTGGCTATTCTTGTTGTATTTATTTTCGGCATCCCTTGTCTTACTTTTGCTTCATAATTTTGGAGGCGTACCTTAAAATGATTTCTTTTAAAAGTTGTTTCTGCAATCCATTTCAAATGCAGGTGACTGTGTAGTTTAGCTGAAATTAGAACTTGTGAAGTAGAACTCCTATGCATAGCAAAATAATACTATTTTCTTATAATCAATAATTATTTATTATTAAATTGCAGGTTAGTGAGATCTTAGACTCAGAGTTGTTGGGAGAAGGGCTAATTCCAACTTTACAGCATGCTCATGAGAAGCTATTGGTGGAAAATCCTCAAACGGTACCTTACCGAGCGACGACTTATGGCCAGGTGACTTACAAAAGCTTTCAATTTTTGTAAATATATTTTTTTGTGTCAACCATGGACGGTTGATCACCTTCCATCTTTTCAACACTTTCTGGTTTGGAAGACTACACATTGTATCATAATAACCTGCATTGTCTTTATTTTTGAGGAATAAATATATTTGCTTTAGTACTAGTGAATTGTATTTCTGGAAGTTGCTTCTCTAACCCATGGCTTGGGGTCCATGATCCATGATGCTTAGCTGTGTAGAGAAAATCATAACTGCTTGTTAATCTCCTTGATGATGATGTAAAATCAAATACCCAGATTTGAGACCTCACCAGTGTTAGAGATTGCTTCCAAGGTTGCAAGGCCAATCTTATCAAACCTGTGAAAGAAAACCATGAGGTTACCTACACCTGATGCTAAAGTTAGTTCTTAGCATGTATCAAAGTGTTAGTAATGTGATTGTAGAGTTTAGGTAGAGATTGTGAAGCAAATTGAATCTTTAAGCAAAATCAAGTTGGAGAAATGTGAATCCAGAAGAAGAAACAGGGGATTAGATTTCCGTCTTCCCGAGAATGCTGGAGCAAAGATTTCAAAAGGAATAAAAATGTAGATAAACTATCAGTTACAAACAGAGAATTTAAGGCAATTTTCAATGATATTTCTGTTGTAAAACTGAATTTGAAATATGAATTCTGCCTCAATTTATGCCAGCCACTTACTTTTGCGTTTAATGAGTATCATGTTCCTATATAATGAAAACTATTTCCCACTATTTTGATTTGACCAATTGACTATTCTAACCTTTTTTTTTTCAATGCCCTTTCAGCTGGTAGAATGCAATTACTTATGGGAGCTGCATGATTTAGTTAATAGAGAGGCAAAAGCATCAGATGGCATTCACCTTGTTCCGAGTGGCACGGATACCGTTTTATGCATTAAAAGACAACAATATGCGATGCATTGTGACACGATCAGAGAAGAGATCAAACTGGTACTAAAGATATGTATATTTAGAAAATCTTCCTTTGCATATTAAAGCATTTAATATTTTACTCAATTTATTATTTCATTCAGCTGTCAGAACCCTTCAAAATTTTTGATTTTGACTTTTGGAAACGGCCAGACAGTTTTAGGGAAACCGAGCTGCACGTAAAGGCTACTAATGATGGTACTATTCATGCTATCATCTCATGGTATAATTTCGTGCAGAGGTGATCATTTCTTGCATATTCTTCTGGGATGATCGTGAAACAATTGTTTTGTTTTTCACCTTCAGGTGGCTGCTTCAGCTTGATAGTGAAGGGACAATCTTTTATTCCACGGGGCCAAAATGGATAGGTAGCTCTTCTGATGTGGAAAAGATAGGATCTTCCCTCCCTCGTAAGTCGAGGTTTTGTTTTATTCTCTCTCTCTCTCTCGCATTCCATGTGCCTCTGAAAGTACATTAGTGGGAATATTAATTCAAATCAACAGGACTGCTTGCGTATATTTAGTACTGATTTTATTAGTTGAATAAAGCATTTATGTGTGAAAGCTCAAAATTATACTTGTTTTTCATCTAACTCGAGGGGGGGGGGGGGGGGGGGGGGGGGAGGGGGG